CTCACTTATAAAAATAAATGCAAAAATCTTAAATAAATATAACCAACCCAAGATATAATACATAAAAATGATAATCTATGAAGACCAAGTTGCATTTATTTTAGATATGGAAGACTGGTTTGACATTAGAAATATCAGTGTAATTTTCCACATAAAGAGAAAGATTTGATCATCTTAACAGATGCCAAAATAAGAAACATTGAACAGTATTCAGCATTGATCTGTGATTAAAACTTAGCAAAAATCAAGAGTAGATCACTTTATTTTGTTTTGACATACATCTCCACATGCTGTGTTCTTGAGTTACTTTGCTCCCTGTATCTGCTATTTTCTCCCTAGCATCCCTCTGCCTCTCCTCTTTAACCAAATTTAGGTATTATCTCTTCTGTGCTTTTTTCCACTTCCCTTGGGATAAAATTTCCTCATAGCTGTATTATCCAGGATAATCAACTTATTTTAAGATTAGCAGCCTTTGATCTCTTTTAATCCTTTGCCATGTAATGTACCGTATTCATAAGTTGAAGGATTAGGATGTATCATCCTTGGGAAACCATTATTCTACCTACCATAGTCTGCCCTCTGACCCAAGATTCATGTTCTTTCCACGTGCAAAATATATCCATCCTATCCCAACAACCCCCAAAACCTCAACTCAACCGATCTAAATCTCATTTTCTAAATCAGATATGGTTGAGTCTCTTCGAATAATTCACCCTGAGACACAATTCCTCTTAATCTGTGAACCTCAACAACCAAGGTAACTTTTTTCCAAAATACAGTGATGAGGACAAAGTAATCCAAGCAGTTTCAAAAATCCATTCAGGCAAACTCAAACACTGTTTGTTTTCAAGGGCTGGTAATAATTACTTGTGGCTTGTGGCTCTTCCCTCTGAACTCAAGATTTTGTCAACAACTCTGAGCCTTCTATGAAGGTTATCACATATTTGTAGCTGAGTAGCTTTATCAGCCTGTGTCTTGTTTATAGAATTTTGGGGGTGTGACAGACTCTCATTTTATACTTTTTGTCCTTTTAAATCCAAGCTGGCAGTGTTTCTATTGTATAAAGTTCTTAAGACTCTTTTGGGTCTCCCTTGTATGAAATAAGGATTCACCCCAATAGACAAGAGGATCCTCCACAGTTCTTTTCTGAATAATCCCCTTGCTATTTCTAGCCTCTGCTGAGAAAGCTGATGGCATGTATGAGTCACAATACCCTTTATCTAATTGAAGACCATTTATGTGACTGAATAAGTCTGGCCTCTCTGGAGTATTAGCAAAGGGTTGTTTAGCTACACCCTCCTCTTTTCTTGTCTTTTCTGTTTTATTTTAATTTTTTTATTATATTTTTAAGAGCAGCTGATAGTGAATCTCAGTTTTAATGTGTTTAATACTCTGGATAAAATGAGAATTTCTCAAACCATTAAATCCTGATTCCCTATTGTTGAACATTTCTTACCTTAAATAAAATGTGAGAGGAGAAAGATAAATTATTTATTTTTAAGTAGAGGGGAAGGGAGGGAGAAAGAGAGGGAGAGAAATATCAATATGTGGTTGCCTTTCGTGCGCCCTCTACTGGGGACCTCACCTGCAACCCAGGCATGCACCCTGACTGGGAATTGAACCAGTGACCCTTCAGTTTGCTGGCCAGCACTCAGTCCACTGACCCACAGCAGCCAGGGCTCTCTTCTCACATTTTAATAAAAACAGGAAGAAGAAACTGGTCTATACCTTCAACACTTTGGAGATCTTTTTTTTTTTAACCTTTTTTTTTTTTTAATTGAATTCATTGGGTGACATTGGTTAAAAAAATTATGTAGATTTCAGGTGTACAGTTCTGTAATACATCATCTTTATGTTGTATGTTCACAACCCCAAGTCAAGTCTCCTTCCATCGCCATTTATCCTCCCCCATTACCCTTTTTTACCTCCTCCACCCCACTTTTCCTCTAGTAATCTCTGTAGTATTGTCTGTGTCTATGAGATGTTTATCTTTTCCTTAATCCTTTTACCTTTTTTACCCAGCCCCCCCACTCCCTCCTTTCTGACAGCTACCAGTCTGTTCTCTATGAGTCCGTTTCTATTTTGTTTATTAGTTTATTTTGTTCATTAGATTCTACATATGAGTGAAAGCATATTTGTCTTTTCTCTGACTGGCTTATTTCACTTAGCATAATAATCTCCAGGTTCATCCACTGTATTGCAAAAAGTAAGATTTTCTTAATGTACCACAGCTTTTTTATCCCCTTATCTACTCATGGACACTTGGGCTGCTTCCATACCTTGGCTATTATAAATAATGCTGCAGTGAAAATAAGGGTGCATGTATTCTTTCAAATTTGTGTTTCACACTCCTTCGGATATGTTCACAGAAGTAGAATTGCTGGGTCATAAGACAGTTCCGTTTTTAATTTTATGAGGTAACTCCATACTGCCAGTCAGGTTCTCAGGACAGTGAGGCAATGGTGCCTGTCCCAGATTCCACACAGCACAGGCGCTGACAGCCCCATGTGTCTGCCCATCCCTCTACATCCGGGCCCAGGCAGCTGATTCCTCAGGATGCAAGGGTGAACTCCAGAAGATGGGACTTACTGCATCCTCCAGGCTGATGTCAAATGGAGGGGAGTGTCCCACCCAAGAAAAAAGATGTCTGTGGTACTGGAGAATGACTCAGCACAGGGATCCTGGCATCTGCCCCTTTAGCTCTCTCCCCAGAGATACTAACTCCAGTTTCTCCTCATGTGACTCTAGTCCGCAGCACCCTCCTCTGGATCCCAGGGTGAGAGACTGTGAAGAGATTCTGTGTGTTGGCCCTGAAAGAGGATGCCTGTGTCTCCAGCAGACTCCTGTCCCTCCTGGGCAGACAGAATCCTCGCTGATTTTCACAGGCAGATGTTATGTGGTTGCTTCTTCCTGGGCTCTTGTGTTCTGGGTTGGGCAGCCCAGTTTTGGGGTTGAGACCCTGCACTTCTCAGGGGTAACTTTGCAGCCGAGATACCCTTTTGGGACCTTAGCCACTGCCCTGAGAGCAAGCGCCACATCTTTTTATGTCTCCTCTCTTCCTGCCAGTCTTGATGTGGCTTCTTCTGTATATCTCTTCAGGTAGTGTTCAGGTTACTTGCTCTATATTTTAATTGTAATTCCAGTTTGATCCTGGGAGGAAGTGCGTGCAATGTATGTTTACTCCACCACCATCTTGGATCTCTTCAAAATCTCCTAAGTTAAATATTCAAGTTCATTTCTCATAACTCTGGCTTTCTGTATAACTATAAACTACAATTTTGCTAAGCTTTCTTCCATAATAAGAATCCCTATTCCTTTAATTTTTAATAACATGGTTCTTACTTCCTTCTGAGTCCTCACCAGCAGCACCTTTGCTGTCCACATTTTTGCCAGCAGACTGTTCGTCACAATTCATGCATTCTCCAAAGGGGTATGTGTTTTCTCTGCTGTGCTTCAGACTTCCTTGACTCCTCAGTAACAGAGTCGTTAATATCCATATTTCAGTTCGTGGTCTGTTCAAGGCAGTCTAAGCATTTTTAAAATCATGTTCCTCTAAATTCTTCTATCCTCTTGCCTTCTGTCCAATTCGAAAGCCACTTCCACATTTTTAGTTGTTTGTTGCAGGAGTGTCCCACTTCCTGCAAAATCTGTAGTAGTCTTTTATTGCTGCCATAACAAATTACCACAAATTTAGTGACTTAAGATAATACAATTTATTATCTTACGGTTTTGGAGATTACAATTCCAAAGTGGGTCTCATTGGGCTAAAATCAGGGTGTCATTAGGCTGTATTATTCCTTATGGCTTTTACTCTCTTGCCTTTTCCAGCTTTTAGAAACATTTCATTGTTTCATGATTCCTTTCCATCTGTAAGATAGCAGTCGCCAGTCACATCTCTCTAATGTCACATCACTCTGATTCTGACAGGTCTTCTCTTCCTCATTTAAGGACTCTTGTAATTACATTGGGCCAGCACGTGTAATTCTGAATAACTCATTTTATTAGCAACTTTAATTCTGTCTGCAACCTTCATTTGCCTGTGCTGTATAACTGAATATATTCACATATCCCAGGGATTTAGGATGTGGACATCCTAAAAATAATTGAGACAATTAAAAGAAATTAAATTTAACATCCTCCTAGCTTAGCTCTTTTCAGTCTGTGCAGTAAAATCATGTTTCTCTGAAGAAGATTATCCCTAATTCATGTTATCTAAATTCTTTACATTTTATCTAAAATCATTTTTTTATTGAACTGACTGGTGTGGCTGTAAACTGAAGGGTTGCCGGTTCGATTCTCAGTCAGGACACATGCCTGGGTTGTGGGCCAGGTTCCCAGTTGGTGGCATGTGAGAGGCAACTGGTCAGTGTATCTTTCACACATCAATGTTTCTTTCCCTCTCTTTCTACCTCCCTTCCCCTCTCTATAAAAATAAACGAAATCTTTTTTTAAACATTTTTACTTAATGGAAATATACAACAGAGATATCTAAGAAGCTAATAATATGTCAAGTTACTTCCTAATAAGAGAAATGTAAGAACTGTCTCTTTTGCTGTTTGGGATAGCATTCTATTTTGTGAGAGAAGACCCTGGGATAGGAATTCTTAAACTGAAATCTGTGAACCCCCAATATTATATATATGTCAAATTTTCTGGATTATGTATAAATTCCTTTAAATTATTTCTGGATATCTATAATCATAAATGGGTAAGAATCACTGCCCAAGAAAGTCAGTAGCCTAGTGTTTAGTACTATATGTAAAATTTGCTTATTAATGCTTCAAAACCAGAGAAGTTGGTAAAAATACTAAGTTAGTTAATTGTTCCACCTGTATTAGATGTATTCTAAAGAATATCTTAAAGGACATTTGCGTTATATTATTTTGGGCTTAAAGTTGTCAACATTTTATTATTTCCATTTGACTAATTTCATTTTAGTTAGCTGGTTGTTAAGTAGTAGTATTATTCCTAATATCTAGAATCAATTTTATTTTTGACAGGTTAACTTTGGCAGAATATCATGAACAGGAAGAAATTTTCAAACTGAGACTAGGACATCTCAAAAAGGTACGTGAAGCATATGTTGAATTTATTTGTTACCAGAGGTTGTGGAGAGTTGTGTTATATATGTATGTCTCTTATTGAAGAAATCAAAACTTAATAGAGAAAGTCCAAATGAAAACCTTATAGACAAAAAAAAAGTGGCATTAAACTTGCATTTTTATGTTCAGTGTATCAAAATAGTATTCCTTTAACTTGTGTCAACCTAAAAAACATTGAGAATGCTGATAATACCATGTCCCTGTAGTGAAGCAGTGATTCCTGGCTGGACCTTCAGTGTCTTAACATTAGTTTGTTTAAATACCACTTTTTTGTAAAAAAAAAAAAAAAAAAAGTTTAAAGATGCAGTGTAAAATTCCATATTGCTTATTTCCATTTTATGATAAATTGAAATAATTATAAATTAATAACAAATTGTTTCTTTGGCCTAACTTTTAAGCTGTGGGATGCTTGATTAAATGTTTCAATTAGAATCTGTACATTGGCAAATTTAGAAAAGCCTAGTCATCAGTAATATAAAGTGATAAAATTTAGAAAATTGTTGCTATGTGTTATAGTAAAATTTAATAATGTATAGCTTTGTACTTGTTTATAAACTCTGAAATTCTAATCAGTTCATTGTTTTTACAGTTTATATTTTTAGTTCAAACCATTTCAAATAAATAAAAATAGAATAGATTTTCCCCCTCAATTTTACTGCCAGATGTAAAATTCTTTTTGACCCAATTTTTTAATTATGTTTTCTGCTTATTGGATTACTGAATTTTTTTTATAGGCTGAATAACAGCTAAAATTGAGTTAGTGAGCTAATTGAAAATAGTACTTTTGAATTCACCTCCCTAGGGTAGGGTGAGATAGGACAGAGAAACCCATTCTGGTAGCAACTACTGTTACACTATAAACTATTTTGTTTTTGTAATGCTATCAATATGCTTGAGACCCCTGCAGTTTAATTACAGGGGACAGAAAAGAGTTACAAATAGAGTATGTGTGTATACATAGGTAATTTGCATTAGTGTTCTTTACTATGCCCTATCTGTCTATGCTCCTGCTCAGAAAAGTTTCTAGCTAAACTACTTGAACAGTAAATTTCTTGGGGGTTGGTTGGTTTGTTTGTTTGTTTGTTTGTTTAGTTCTTCTGTTCTGTTGTAATTATTGACTATTTCTCCTGTTCTTTGAGATACAGTAGACAATTTCAGTCTATTTACTATAACAGATGGAGTTGTAATGGGACTATAGAAGGAAGAAGAGATTTTGTAGTGCAGAATAAGTACAAGTATTTGAGCACCCACCTAAGCTGTTTCGATAATGAATTCATAGAGAACTGTGCTTGCTGTCCCTTATAAAGATGTATCAATTATTTTCTAACCAGCCTTTCATGATAATGGGACACTAAATGTATACTTAGAGCTTTAACTGGAGGGTTTTTATTTTCACATGTACTAGTGAATTTTAAGTTACTCTTTCTAATGATGAAATTTTACATTTTATTTTATTAACTTTTTATATAAAGTCTGAAATTACAAAAAAGTTGATTTAGGAATCAGCTATTTATATTAGAAAAAATACTTCACTTTTTTATTTTTTATTTATTTTTTTAAATACTTCACTTACTAAAAGGCTTCAGAGGAGGGTTTGTTTTTGTTTTGGTTGGTAGATGTTAAGATTTTCCTGGTACTTTTAAAATACTTGGTTTCTCTGAAATACTTCTGTTTTCTAAAGCAAGGTATACATAAATGCCCAGATATTATATAAACTTTTGTAAACTGTTCTAGAACACTATACCTTCTTTTCTAACCTTCATGTTATTCTCTTTCCCAGCATTTGACTTCTCCATTTTTTGTATTTACTCATTCTTTCTCATAATTGTTCCTTCCATAATCTTTTTCCTGTATTTTTTCTACCTTTTATCAAATTTTCTGAGCAGTTTTAGATTTCTAACTTTATCATCTTCTTAACCAGTTTACTGCATTACTTTTCTTTGACCTTCATTGTGGGAAATTTTGGGAAATTAGATGAACTAATAATGCTGAAACATACTCCCATGTCTTAAATTCTCACATTTTCTTCTGAAACTATTTTGGATGAGAAAAATTGAATGCATTATAAAGAAAGTTGCAGTAGTACCTGCAGAGAACAAAATTGAATAATGTCACTTAGAACACAAATAAAAATACCTTACTTACTACCTGGCTATTAATTTTTGAGTCATAGAATTAAAAAATAATGAGCATTAAGTTACATGTTTTAAAAGTAAGTTATTTGGCATTCTAAACCCCAGTTGAAAAGTGGGTCATTCAAATAGATTGTTCTGTTCTCTTAAAAAAGGGTTGATAGGACACTTTTAATGGAGAGAACAAGCTTGACTTCAGAGAAGAGATTGTTATCACCTCTATCTTATCAGCTCCCTGTGCTTCTAGGTTTATTAAGCTGATTTGAACTGTACGTCAACTTGTAACTATATAGCTTCTACCATAGGCTAGATCTGATCTGTGAATATTTGATGTCCATGTAATCGGCACGAGAATGACCCTGTGGTATGTTGCCTTAGTATTTAGATTTGGAGCCCATCATACTTTGCATTAGCCAGGGTGACTCTTGCTTTCACTCTCCCTTTAATAAATACTCTTAAAGTAAAGCAAAATTATTGTACTGAATTTGTCGATACAGAAGGAGAAAATGTCCTACTTTGAGAAAGCTCATGCCGTTTAGACATTTGAGTCTGGAAGGACTTTGCCTTGAAATGACTAATTTATGTTGTGCATTATATATCATAAAGGTAATTTGAATAAGTAATCTGAAATATGAAAATGTGTATTTATCATTGAGTAAGTTATGAAGATTAGTTCACATTCTGTGCTTTCCCATAGGTTTAGAAATATAAATTCAAAGCTGTTAGTGTGATAGAGTAATGAATGAACAAGTAGAAACCTCCAAAAGTAAGTGTATGGCTGAAATAAGTAAGACATTTCTGGTATCAAATAGTAAGTTTAAATGTATTAATACCATCAAATAGTAAGTTTAAATATATTAATGGCCTATTAGTTTTTTCTTCTGATATTAGGAAAATCACTGTGCAGCATCACCTCGGTTTCAATATATCAAGAATTCTTTAATATTTATTGTTATAGCAGTTCATGAAATAATTGTCATAGCAGTTTATGAAATCAATGCTCGCTCATTCACTAAGTAACTTATTTTCACATGCTCCCTGACGCAGGCATAATTCAAGTTCCCATTTCAGGGTTTGGGGGTTTTTTAAAGATTTTATTTATTTATTTTCAGAGAGAGGGGAAGGGAGGGAGAAGGGGGGAGAATGTGTGGTTGCCTCTTGTGCATCCCCTACTGGGGACCTGGCCCACAATCCAGACAGGTGCCCTGACTGGGAATCGAACCAGTGACCCTTCAGTTCACAGGCTGGGGCTTAAGTTCCCATTTCAAGAAAGTTAACATAATATTACATTTTGGACTTTGAAGTTTTAACTATTCTAGAGTGACCATTATGTTAACTTTCTGAATGCCAAGATCTGTATATGCTTTGTCTGAGTTAATACAGCTAGTAACCAGCAAAGCCAACCTTCCTCCTGAACCTTCTCTCACTCCTAATTGAATTATAGTCCCCAGGGGCTTTCTTCCTACATCTTTAGTTATAGATGGATAGCAAGTTGATTCTTTGTATTCATAAGAACTAATTCACTTTTATCTTTCTTTCCATCTCTCTCAGAGTAGTAGGGATGTTCCTGCCTGAGTTTTTTTGGGGGAGGGGGGGCTTCCAAAAATACGCTATTTTGTTTTCATTGCAGATAAAGGAGAGCAGTTAAGTTTTTCACAAACACATATACTTTCTTTCTCTCACATATTACTTTTCTTGGGTATTCTGTAGTGACTGTTGTATCAACTAGAATGTTTCATTATTAGCTGGTATCCTTTTCATTATAGATTTATTTTTAAAGGTCAAAAGAAAGGACATTTTTTATAGAAAGTGTACATATTCTAACATAATTTTACCTTCTATATAGCTGAAGGATTTAACAGACTAGAACAGAAAAAAACAATATAATAAAATATATGGAGACCACACAAATTATTCCTAAACTTAAAAAAAAATTTGTGCTATTAGTAATTACGTACTCGTTTCCCCAACTATCACTTATTAAAAGCTTATAGTTGCAATGAGAGTAATTTTCTGTCTTTCAAAAGATACTCCTTTGAGGCAAAGCTACTAACTATCCTATTTATCCTGTTGCCTTAAATCTGTGGATTTAAGGAAACTAACAAACAATATACCAGTTAGCTTTCCTAGTTGGTTCTGTTTTACTTCCAGTCTTTGATGAGTTCTAGTTATGGGAAAACAATTTATCTTTGTGATTGGAGGAGTTTTGCTAGGCTGTGATTTGTCTATTTCAGATCATTATTCTAGAATTCAAGAAACTACATGGATGTGCTTTCCAAGGATTGTTACTAAATTAACACAAATAATCCCTAAAAAACCATCCTCCTTGTAATAGATTCTTTCGGTAGTCATAAATATTGAAGATACAAGTTACCAATCATAATACCCCAAATGATAAGGAAATAAGTTTGAAAGTTATTAGGACTGATAATGATGTCTTGCCACTGCTATTAATTCAAGTTTGTGATGTGAACAGCATATGGATATGTGTTGCTCTTTGTTTTCTAGTTAAGTTTTATCACCATTTAGATTTTAAACATTGATTAGTTGGAGAGAATGCATATAGCAGATTTGACATCTCAGTATGGAATATTAAATAGTGTAGTAGGGATTGGCTTTAATGTATGTGTTGGTGGGGGCGGGGGCTGTATGTGAGAGAGAGAGAGAATGAGAGATTTATAAGCCCTGAATATAAGTGCCAGGAGTTTTTTTTTTTAAAACATAACCAATTTGTAATTAAAACAGGATTAGTCAAGAATCATCAGCACCAACACAAATGTGTCTTTGCAGACCAAAGGAATCAGCTAAACAATTTGCAGTCATCTCAATCTCT